CGCTGCATCGGGATCGATGCGTCGTCGTAGTCATTCATTGTGTCGTGTTGTGTGTGTCGTCGTCGTCGTCGTCGTCGTCGTGTGTGTGTGTGTGTGTGTGTGTGTGTGTGTGTGTGTGTGTGTGTGGTGTTGTGTGTGTTGTGTGTGTTGTGTGTTGTTGTGTTGTGTGTCATTGTTGTTGTTGTTGTCATTGTTGTCGTCGTCGTCGTCGTTGTTGTTGTTATCGTCTTCGTGGTTGTTGTTGCTGTTGTCGTTGTCGTTGTCGTCGTCGTTGTGGTTGTTGCCGTTGTGGTTGCTGCCTTCTCTGTCATCGTTACTGGTGTCGTTGTCGTTGTCCTCGTCGTGGTTGTTGTTGTCATCATTGTTGTCGTTGTGGTTGCTGCCGTTACTGTCGTCTTCGTGGTCGTTGTCGTCGTTGTCATTGTTCTCGTCGTCGTTATTGTTGCCTTTATCGCCATTGCCGTGTGCAGGTTTGGACTGGCTGGGTGTGTCGCCATTGCCTGCAGATGGACTGCTTCGCGCGTGGTTGTCCTTGTGCACTCGCTTCTTCGCCCCCTGTCTCTTCGTCTTGCTGCTACTGCTGCTACTGCTGCTGCTGCTGCTGGTGGTGGTGTCATGAGCTGGTTCAGATGAGGCGTTCGAAGCTGTTGGGTTCTCATCGTCTTGTACCAGGGCCATGATGTCTGCTGTCGACAGCCCTAGCGGCAAGCCCTCCTCGTCGTTCTCATCATGTGCCTGAAGCTGCTGCAGGCGGGAGATTTTCTCGCGTTGGCTGCCGTCAACCGGCACCATCTTGAACCCTCCAAACTCGCTGCGAGCGTGCATTTGCAAAAGGGAAGAGGAGTGATGTGAAGGGATAATAAAGAGAGGTGGTGCTCATGACGAATAAACGTGCAAGCAAGCGGTGTATGTCGAACCGGATCAACAAATACATACACACACACGCACGCACACGCACGTATGCATACACATACAAATACACGCACATGCATACCGGCCATTCATTGTGGCTGCGGAGGCAAGTGAAGGTCTGTCCAGACTTGAGCAGGCGTCTCAGTGCACTCGAAAGCACGACAAAGCAATGACCTGTCGATGGGTACACCCTCGACACAACGTGTCGTTGGTAGCTTGCGAGCCCAGGGCATATGCAGATAGACATGAAAGAAGATTAGTGAGGAGACGATAGCGTTGACAGCAGGGTAGTGCACAGCAAAGGGGCTTGGGGAGTGACAACCATTGGTTTGTGCAGACGCATTGCAGATACCGGAGAGAAACAAAGCAATCATGTGTATGTGTATGTGTGTGTTTGTGTGTGTGTGTGTGTGTGTGTGTGTGTGTGTGTGTGTGTGTGTGTGTGTGTGTGTGTGTGTGTGTGTGTGTGTGTGTGTGTGTGTGTGTGTGTGTGTGTGTGTGGTACCAAAGTTGGGCTGAGCTGCTGCGTCGGTCGAACGTTGCTTGGTGGTTGCTTGTTGTGTCGATCACTGTCGACCCGTCTGCGGTGGTCTGAAAAAATGACGGACTTGCTGCATGTGTGCATGAGCATGTGTGCGTGTGTTGTGTCTGTTTGCGTTGCGTACGTGTTTGTGCGTGTGTGTGTGTGTTTTTCTTGCTGCTGTACGAGTGGGCCGTACGAAGGAGGACACCTTGAAGAGAAGGGGTCTGTGTGTCGACACCATCCAAATTTTCAGGCGATTCTCAGCACGTTTTTGAACAAAGCAGCGCTGTTCATGCAATCAGTGGGCGAGTTGGGGGAGGGGAAGGGCATGGGGTTGTTGCGTTGTGGGTGCGCTGTGCTTTTGTTGGCGATTGTTGTGCTTTGATTGAACACCATGCGCTCTGTTCGAATTGCTGTTTATGCAGATATCGAAGGTGAGACAACGACTGCAGTGACGACAGAACACACACACGCACACGCCATGCACGTCGACATGAAAACAAGCTTGATCCAGCCGGGGGGGGGTGCCAGGAAGTCGTGATGGAGCAAGCACTGCACGCTGTCCCTCTCTAATATCCCGCGCGATCCACAAGATCTTCAGTGCGAAAGACATGGTGGTGGACGAAACCAGGTTGAGCTGGGTCGATGACGATAGCAGCACGCATGCCCATGTACGTGCACACACACACACACACACGCATACTTTTGAGTGTGACATGCAATCACACACACACACACACACATACACACAAACACACACACACGCAATCACGAAGACACGAGCACATCAACTAACCCTGATACGAGTCGAGCTCGTTCTTGGGCTGCTGCTGCCGCTGCTGTTGTTTTGCCGCTGTCTTCTTCAGCTTTGGCTTTGGAATCCCCACGAGGTCACAGATGGCGTTGCGCTGCTGCCGAGCAAACGTGATGTCACCATCCCTGTCGATGTGTGTATGTGTGCGCGTGTGTGGGCGCGGAAAGGGGGGGGGGGATAGCCATGCACACACACACACACGCACACACGTACACACTCTCACACACATACTCGCACGCACACAAAACTGCGCACCATTCTGTGGTGATGAGGATTTGGATGCATTGCTCCTTTGCAGCGGGCTGGATGTAAGGGCGGTCGAGCCCAAGCAGCGCCACGTACAGCGATTCGCACGTCACGCGACGCACCTGCACACACACACACACACACACACACACGCACACACACGCACACACACAAGTAAAAGCAGAACACGTGATTGCCCGCACGAATGTGGGTCAGTGCAAGAGTGAGCGCGCGTGCGGGGGATGTGCGTGTTCTAGAGAAAAAAGTCATCAACAGAGTGGGATGAAAGCAGCATAGCACAGCACCGCACCAGGCAAGCAAGCAACAATCACCCTCCTCACCCTCGGGTATCTGTTGCACAGGCACATGCCGAGGGTGGCCATGCTCTTCTTGAAACAGTTGTCAAAGCTGAGCAGTCCACAGCACCTGCAGTTCGCATGGTGGTGGCCCGTTTTGGAGGTGACGGTGGTGAACACATGTGTATGAGCGTGCGTGCGTGTGTATGAGTGTGTTTGGGTGTGTATGAGCGTGCGTGTGTATGTATGAGTGTGTATGGGTGTGCGTGTGCGCGTGAGTGAGTGAGTGTGTGCGCGTGAGTGAGTGTGAGTGTGAGTGTGGTGCGCAGATGCAATGCGCAGCGGCTGCTGCCGTCAATGTAACTACACGCAATTCGCTTTCACAACAGCTCCCGCCATCACCCCCACGCACACACAACTTACACATGGATGCACTGGATGATTTTCTGCACGTTGGTGCACTTTGACAGCTGCTTCTTCACCAGCTCATACATTTCAAGCGCAAAACCCGTCCTGTGTGTGTGTGTGTGTGTGTGTGTGTGTGTGTGTGTGTGTGTGTGTGTGTGTGTGTGTGTGTGTGATCACGTTCAAAGTTCACTTCACTCCGTGACACACGCCATCAACAAGATACACAAGCAAGGCCAGATGCAAATTCAAGCACGCAAGTCCAAATCCACGCAGAGCCCAACATGTGCCCCACGCTCATCCAACATGCCCTCACCGTGGGGATGCAATGAGGCTGTCGAGGCAGGCGTTGGCAATGAGGGTATCGCACGTCTTCAAAAGTGGAATCACCACCAGGTCATCCGCCATGTTTGCGCGAAGCAAATCCACCATCGCAGACATGATTCCAGCCTTCACATCATCTGCACACACACACACACACACACACACACACACACACACACACACACACACACACAAAACAGCACGCGGGCAAGGGTGCACAAACACGTGGTTAGCCGAGCGAGTGACGGATGGACCTGAAGGAAAACCAATGCGTGATCCAAGCCAACATTTTACCCGACGCATGTGCACACCACCCACGCTCAAACATGCTGTATCCGCGTGCATACCACTGACCATGGATGCTGAAGAAGAATGCAATGAGTGCCTGTGATGATGCGTGCACGAGGGACTCCGTCAACCCACCCACGCTCACAACCAGCCCATTCTGGTGGCGGGCGATGAATAAGGTCGTGGTGGTGGGTGGTGGCGGTTGAAGTGAGGAGGTGAAATGTGGAAAATGCTCGCAAAGCCATGGGCGAATGAGGACAGCACACACACACACACACACACACACACACACACACACACACACACACACACACACACACACACACACACACACAAAGCACACATCACACACACACACATACACACAAAGCACACACACACACACACACACACACACACACACACACACACACAAGCACAACGCACCAGCAGCGGGCGCTGGATGGATGGGAGGCGAAGGAGCTGAACGACAATTGGAAACGTAATGTGCGCTGCCGACCAGTCGAGCGGCGTCGGCTGCGACCTGATGATGATGATGATGATGATGATGATGATGATGATGATGATGATGATGATGATGATGATGATGATGATGATGATGATGATGATGATGATGATGATGATGAAGATGATGAAGCAGCGATTGCACGCGGATGTATTCACGTGAGCAAGAGCACTGAAGCACACACACACACACACACACACACACACACACACACACACACACACACACACACACACACACACTTGTACACACGACAGCGGCCAGCGCACCACAATCACGCTATACGTGCACGTACATGATGTGATCGCAGACGGCAGCCAGGTCACTTCGCATCTGTTTGTCGTCTTGTGGCTTCTCATCAGTGCACTCCTAATGATAGGACAGAGCGCGGTCAAACGTTGGCGATGAAGGAATCAAATTATGATGATGATGCGATGAGAATACAGCACACTGCAAACAGTCTCGCCCACAGTCACACACACACACACACACACGCATGCACATCCCCCACACACACCAACAAACACACCCACCTACCTATCCACATGCACACACACACACGCGCGCGAGCGCGCGCCTCTCAGCTGACCTTGCCCTGTTGTTGGGTGATGTGTTGCTTGCAGGCATCGGCGACGCGGACGAGGGCGTTGCCTGCTTCACTCCTCAGGCGATCGAGTTTCTCTGCCAGCTGCTTCAGCAGACCAGCAACACACTCATGCAGTAGACTGCACGGGTAGGGATGCGTGCGTTGGAGGTGAGAAGCGGGCGAGGAAGGAACGGCGAGGAAATGTTCATCTGTGAAAGGTGGACGAACACACGCACACGCACATGCACACATGCACACGCACATGCACACATGCACATACAGACACACAGACACACACACAAGTACCTGGTGCAAGCCGCGAGCGACGGTGTGAGGGGAAGAAGGAGTGGGAGGACTTCGCCAAGGGCGGTGATCGCCTGCAAGCGGACGGTGGATCCAACATCCCCTCTGCTGGTGATAGTGTAATCGTCCAAGCTCGACAGGAACACGCGCAGCGCCGGGCGCACAATGGACGACGATGACAGCAACGGTCGAAGGGCTGTAAGTGGTGGTGGTGATGATGATGATCGCGGTGATCGTGATGATGATCGCGGTGATCGTGATGATGATTGTGGTGGACGGAGTCGGCCGAGAAAGAGGACAACAGTCTTCACAACACACACGCACACACACACACACACTCCTCGCGCACACGTAACCACACACATACACACACTGCGCACATTCCACGTTTTCAAAGCATACTATACAGCCTCCTTAGTCACTGCTTGTGTGCTTGTGCACCTTGTTCGCGACAAGCTCTGCGCAGGAGAGTGGTGATGGAGTGCAGGGCGGCGTGTCGGAGGGCAACAGCCGCGTTCGCTTCCTCGTCAAGCGCACGCGCAGCCACACCCAACGCACCAAGTACCTGCCCAGCACAACCAACAACGAGAGCAAACGAGGGTGGTTCGGTGTGATTTGACTCAGCTGTGCGTGCCGACGTTGTTCAACACACGGGCAATCACCCAAGCAACGAGCGCACACGTTGCAACGGATTGCACACAGACAACCACGGACACAGCCTGACATCCACACACCCACACGCACACGCACCCTCCCCCCCCACACACACACCCATACAGCCTCCCCCCCCCAAACACACACAGCCATCACCTTCTCGTGTGTGTCCAGCAGCAAGCGGGCGGGCAGGTCGCCCAGTACACGTGCGGCGGCGGCGCGCGCCTGTGGACGAAGAGCGTGCGGGTGCACGACCTTGGCAACGAGGCGAGGTAGGACTGCGTCACGGAGGACTTGCAGTCCTTCCTCGCAGCTTGCGTAATACGACTGGCACAGCTGCAGCACGGCGGCAATGCTGCGTGCACGCGTGTCCTCGTCCGCGTCTTCAAAGCCCTGCAGTGCAAAGTCGAACCACGACGACAGCACTGCGCTCTCCAACATGGCCGCGCACGAAAACTCGGGGACGGCACGCGCTGATGATGATGCTGATGGTGGTAATGGCTGTTGGCCCACCGGAATTGGCGTTGCTGTTGTTCCAGTTGTCGTTGATGCTGATGCTTGTGCTGTTCCAGTTGTCGTTGGTGTTGATGCTTCTGCTGTCGCAGGTGCAGCGTTGTTCCCGTCGCTGCCGCCGCGCCCATCGTGGCTGCCGCTGATGGGGATGACGGGGAACCCAGCGAGGGCGAGGCGTTGAATGGTGGCGGCGCCTGACGATGGGAGCGAGACGAGGTGGTGGTGGGAGGGACAAGGGGATGGAGATGTGAGCATGTGAACACATGGTGGTGTTGCTTGATTGGAGAAGAGGAAGGTGGCCAGCCTTAGCATGAACAGTTCAGTGAATGCACGAGAAGAAAGAGAGAGAGAGAGAGGCCGCAAACAAACGACCAAACGAACATCCACCACATGCACATGTTCACAATCATGGCACCAAGATCAAGGGTGGTACATGTGTTTGCACGTACAGGCCTTCCTGACGAGGGCACCACCGAGTCCGTGCGTGTATTTTGCGGACTCTAGATCCGATAGGAGCGACTGCACTCGTGCCACGTGTATTGGCTGAAAGGTGGAGGTGAACGCAGCATGCTGGGATGCAACGTACGCCGTGCGGTGTGCAAGGTCCGTCTCATCCCACGTTGGAGCGGGTGGGGACAGGCCCAGCATACACGCACCCACGCCAAACACCGCACCCTGGCGTCTGGTTTGCGGCAGCGACGGTGGCGGAGGGTGTAATGGGAAATGGGAGGAGAGGGTTGTCAGTAACAAAGAACAACAAAGGTGATGGTGGTTGTGGTGAGCAAAGTGCAGATGACACACATGTTTACAAAACACACACACATACGCACACACACGCACACACACGCACACACACACACACACACACACACACACACACACACACGGCCCCTGGAGCAATGCCGTTTGCAAGACAAGGGCAAGCAGGAAGCGCAAGTGTGTACGTGTTGAGGTCAATGGAGAGGGTGTTGGGCAGAACTGTCGATGTGAATGCGTCCACGACGTGCGCGCGCGCGTGGGGCGAGAGCTTAACAATCGCATCTGCCGCCAGCTGTCGCACGTCCTCATCCCAGTGGGACAACTTGACCTGCAGCAGCAGGGAGAAAGGGAGAGGAAGGTGTGTATGTATGT